CACACACACACACACACACACACACACACACACACACACACACACACACACACACACACACACACACACACACACACACACACACACCTGTGTTTGTGTTAGAGAGAGAAACATATGTAGTAGACATAACAGAGGAAAAATAAATTGGTTAGAAAGGCGGGATCCAAGAACTAATTGCTCGATTTTGCAGATACAAATAGTAAATACAAATAGTAAAAACACACACACACACACACACACACACACACACACACACACACACACACACACACACACACACACACACACACACACACACATACACACACACACTAGCAGGTGTCACCCACCTTCACCACAACTGGTTTAATCTTCTTTCACACGTCTTTCAAAGTATTACTTTCATTCACACTTTCCCCCCACCGTCTGGCTCCTCTCAGTCCGCATCTGTGTTCGGGTCAGGAAAAAATATCGCTTCTGCATTTCAATGCCTCGTTAAAAATCGACACAGAAAACGTGGAATGCAGAGAAAAATTATACAAATTTTAAAGTCGTAAAATGAATGATATTTACAGTGTGTCTCAAATTGTTGAATATCCTCTGGGAATCAAACATTTACGTGGAAAATTATTTTGATTTAATTGATTAATCATAAATTGTCTGAGTGTCATAGTGGACATCTACAGTTGTCGGATATTTACACTCAAAGAAGAAAGTTCAAGAAATAGAAGAAGCAAAGTGTTAGATGAATGCAGCAAACAGCAGAATGTAAAATAAGAAAAAAGTCAGACAATTTTGCCCAAATAGGAGGGAAAACTGGAGAAAATGAGTGAAACTTAAGTCGGACCGTTAAGTGTTGAGCCATCATACTTAAGCATCCTACTTAAGCATCCTACTTAAAGCATCATACGTAAGCAAACCTGTCGCCCAAAAATAATATCACGCAGAGCTAGTATGGTTGGAATGATAGGACCTATAACTACCGTGGAAGGGAGGTACAAAATAGTACTTCTGAAAGCTATAATAGCCAACCGTTTTGTACTATTATTGTAGTACAAAATCCACATTTTGATTTTGTAATTCAAATCAAATAACAAACAAAATGAACCACAAAATACAAAAAAATAACCAATTCTATTCCTTCCTAGTCGCAATGAGGAACATATATAAACTGAGTTAAGCCTAAGATTGCATATATTAGGCCTAAGACGAGTTAGGCTAAATATGGCAATAAGATTTTTGGTATTCCCACTAGCATGTCAACAGTGCAAAAGTTGCTCAATCCTTCTGAGGGTTGGAGTTTATCATTTCAATAAACTCACCTTAACTTGAACTTCATTCTCTCAGACGTACGTTAGACTTCCGTCCAAGATACCTGGTGCCTGTATCTTGTATATACCCCATGAGACAAGCGTATAGAACCCCCATAAGACATGCGTATAGAACCCCAAGAGACATGCGTACATAACCTCATGAGACAAGCGTATAGAACCCCCCATAAGACATGCGTACAGTAGAGGTGAATCACTGAAAAAACTCGTAGTCTTGCGCGAGAAGTAATACGAGAGAGAGAGAGAGAGAGAGAGAGAGAGAGAGAGAGAGAGAGAGAGAGAGAGAGAGAGAGAGAGAGAGAGAGAGAGAGAGAGAGAGAGAGAGAGAGAGAGAGAGAGAGAGAGAGAGAGAGAGAGAGAGAGATTACTGGAAAAACCACAGAAGAAATTAATAGAAACATCATGAAAAACATATAAAATATCTTCATTCTGCTCATCACCGCTACTTGCAGTGTAAATATTTCACTCTAGGTTGGCTACCGTTGCTTCACTGCCAGTGTTGTATATGGGAGGGACACGCACAGCCACGGTGACGCAATGCACCAGATGTATATACGCACGTTGACGCAATACACCAGATGCGTTGACGCACGTTGACCCAATACACCAGATGCGTACACGCATGCATACATACAAATGGCTGTCAAACACTAAGAAACACACATACACAAATGTACATACACGCAAAACTCCTACACAAAGATACCTACACAAACGAAAATCCCACACAGCGATGTATATATATATATATATATATATATATATATATATATATATATATATATATATATATATATATATATATATATATATATATATACACACACACACACACACACACACACAAAACGATACACACATACACATGCACGATTCTCGGCCGAGGCAGAAGCAAATGGGCAGAGTTTCTTTCACTTGATATTTCTGTACACCTACCTGTAAATATAGTTATCTGGGATTTAGACAGCTGCTCTGGGCTGCATTCTGTATGTGTGTGTGTGTGTGTGTGTGTGTCTGTGTGTGTGCAGTAACACACACACACACACACACACACACACACACACACACACACACACACACACACACACACATCTCTGGGAAAGTTTGGGTCAGTGACCAACTCACACCACAAACAGCAGTGACAGACAGCGAAGAAACACATTGCAAAATACACTTCGCAAACTTCACGCTCAGGACTCAAAAAGTCTCGAAAATCGTCATCTATATCCATGAGTGAATGTCTGTTTGTCTCTCTCCAGTGCTGGAGGCCAGGCGCTTGAGCCTGCTCTCACCCATCTTTGCAGGGTAGATGGTCAGGGGTAGGGGACGGACATAGGCCGGTTGGGATTGGCTCAGTGTTACACTTTCGGAAATATCAGTCTGTAACCCAAATCCCCAGAGCCATTTTCAAGAAGTTTCAAATGAAATCGCGGGTTTGTTTTCCGTAGAGTTTTGAAGTTACTCCTAGATTATGCATTGAGTTATGGGAGATATATTTTCCAAGCTTAGCCTGGATCCAGGTTCGAATGAGTGAATAATCGAGCCTTGAAGCTCGATTATTGGTTCAAGCTCTTAAGTGAGAGCTTGAACCAACAGGCTGTTGCTTGGAGCGGACCGCAGGCGCACATGTCCACTACATCCGGTTGGTCCGGCCCTTTTTCAGGAAACAGTCTTGAGGTTCACTTTTGTTCCAGAAATACGTCTTATACTTGCTGGGAGAATAACTGAACAGTCTGAACAGTAACTGAACTTCTACTCTTCAATGGCTGGGGGTCTGCATTTCCTGCCATGTCGCTTGTTCACGAACCTTGTTGTTTTACTGTGCCAATTTGTGTCCTGGCCATCTAGTATGTTCCATTTACCCGCCATTTTCCTGAATTTATCGAGAACAATTAAATGAATTCACTGGGGATACAGTGATGACGATAGTGAGTAGTGAGGATGGCTACGGTGATGAAGATAGTATATACAGTGAAGATACTGTATAGTGAAGATATAAGTTGAGAGGGAGGGAGGGGACATGGGGAATGATGAGGGGAGAGAGAGAGAAGGGGAAAGAAATGGAAGAAGACGAAAGGGGAGGTGAAGAGAGGGTAAAATGGGGAAAGAAAGGGGCAAGGGTTGAGAGTAGGGAAGAGTAGAGAGGTGAGAAAAGAAAGGAAAGGAGTGAGAGAGATAAAAGAGGAGGAGGAGGAAGAGAGGGGGAGACGGGGGAAAGAGAGAGTGAAATAGAGAAGAATAAAGGAAAGGGGGAGAGGACGACGACATTGAGAGAAGAGTGGGAAGAGGGTGAGGGGAGGGGGGGAGGGGGAGAAGAGTGATTCAGACCCAGGCCCCTCCTGGCGGCCCCTCTTATTAAAATTACAGAGGGAGACACGAAAGCATATATTCCAACAACTGCATAAACACACGAAAGAACACTGTTCCTACATTTAGGGGTCACGAAAGACTCACGGACGAGGGCACATCAACTCTTAATCGATTGGAGTATATTTCCAGAGCCTTTTTTTAGGCTCTTGTCATATCTACGGTACATTAAAAGCTGTGTATGGAGGTCCCGCCTCCACCCATTCACTTAGCGCATTCCAATTCCTCGCTACTGACTCTAAGCGATTCTTTTCTCATGTCTCTGTGGCTCATTTGGGCACTCAGTTTCCACCTTTTGTCCCCTTATTCGTGTACTTCCCTTGTTAATAGTGTTTCCTCTTCTGACCTGTCTATTCCCCTGAGTATTTTGTAGATGGTAATTAATATTACCATCTACACTTTAATATTGTGTAGATATTAAATATTACTACACAATATTATTATTACTTTAATATTTATTATTACAATTAAATATTACTTTAATATTTAATTTCCTGTTCACCTCGTCAATTCCTTTATACACTTTTGTGTTGTAATTGTGACTGGTCCCTATTTTCCTCATTCATAAGTTCTGGTAAAATAAAATTTTTGTAAGACTAATTTGTCTCCCTATTTTAGCTCGGTGTTAGCTTCAAGTGGCGATTCCACACTTGGGCTGCATATTAGAGTAATGGTCTAACATAGATAGTGAACAATGTTCTGAAAATGTTTATAGTTCAAGATGCTGAATGGTGCATCATTCACCATTCTAATTATTATTATCTAAGCTCCCTATTATTATCACGTTAATGGGCTTCTGGTAATAAGATTGGAATAATTCTAGATTTTTTTTTAATTTCTGATTCGAGGATTTTTTCCAAGTTTTGTATTGTCCGTGAAGCCTTGTCACTTCAGAGAGAGATAGATAGATAGATAGATAGATAGATAGAGAGAGAGAGAGAGAGAGAGAGAGAGAGAGAGAGAGAGAGAGAGAGAGAGAGAGAGAGAGAGAGAGAGAGAGAGAGAGAGAGATAGAGATAGATAGAGATATAGAAAGAGATAGAGATATAGAAAGAGATAGAGACAGAAAGAGATAGAAACAGAGACAGAGAGATGGAGACAGAGAGAGATAGAGACAGAGATAGAAAAAGAGACAGACACAGAGATACACAGACACAGACCCAGAGAGAGAGAGACAAGGAAAGCCAGCCATAGAGACACACTGAGATAGCCTCACAGACATAGAGACACAGGGAAACAAGAGAGATACAGAGAGAGAGAGACGCACAGTTGGTAGGTGTGTAGTGAGGTAGGGAGTGAGTCGATGGGGTGTGGATATGCGCGGTCCGCCGGTCAGTCGACACCGTGAACTCAGCAAGTGAAGATGTACACAGCAGCGCTCCTTCTCTCCAGCGCGGTGGCTCTTGTGGCGGGTGAGTTGTCAACAAAGACCGGTTTATTTTTTGCTGTGTGTGTGTGTGTCCGGCCGGCCTACCCTGATCTTCTACTCCCTCTGCTCGTCCCTGGCCTTGCTCGGAGAACCAACGTGGGTTGAAAAAAAAACCAGTGTTAAATCCACACATTTAATGGAGTTTTTCTTTTTTAACGTTTCTGAACGTGTGAGTTTAGTGTTTGTTCCAATCATGGCATTTACAATGTACATTGTATATTTACAGTGTACACTAGGATATGATGAGAGATAACTACAATGATTAATTTTATGACAAATTTATTTAAACTTTTTTAGTTTTTTTCATTCTAGGACACAAGCCTCAAGGTGGGGGTAGGGGGGGGGGGGGAGGAGGAGGTAAATGGGAATAAAGCCAAGTTACCGTTGTCTTCTATTTTAAAATCCCGCTTTCACACTAACACCGAATTGCCAGAGGCGTAGGAAAGCGACGCAGTATACACACTACCGCCTTGAAGGATTCGAATTCCAACCCATCATCAAAACACAAGGGGTCATCGGGTCCGCAATATATAAAGTCATTTACTGGCTTATTAAAACGTACACAAGTCAATATTAAACTTATAAACCACTCGGTCATGTATGACTCGAAAACATTTTTTTTTAACCTAACCTAGCCTAGCATAACCTAATGTAACCTAACCTAATCTAACGTAGCCTAACCTATACCTAATTGTCTGATGTTGAAGTCAAATGCTGACTTACTCAAATATACATCAACTTATACATGATGTATTATTCAGGTGTTCGTCGACGCTCTGATTGGCTGTCATCACCGGGGATAACAATGGTCTTCACAATATCGTCATTCTAAAACAACGATTAAAAAATATGAACGAACCTGTTTCGAAATTTCTGAAGTGAATTTTAACCGGCTGCTACAATTCGGCGATCGATTATCCGAACTACTATAACCGAGAATTGTTTCCGGATTTGTTCTTATATGTTAAACTACAATATTAGGTCAAAATCGGTGGAACCCAGAACCTAGCGGCTAGGAGAGCTGAGCGAGACGTGAACAAGACGTGAGCGAGACATGTAAATGTGTGATCTGTGTGTCGTAACATGAAGTTTTGTTGCTCGTTTGGTCTAATACGCATTTTTTGGGGCGTTGTTGCGTTACCGATTAGCGTTATGCTATAAGGTAGCGTAACTGTCACGTGGGACAAGCAGCTTATTAGTCTTACTAGCTGCTCTTGTCTTGCAAAAATAACATTAATACATGTTACTAATATTTAGTTAAATAGTAATTATTTTCAGGGAGGCAAAGAACAGCTTTATTATTACTTGTGAAAGTTTTCTACTCTTTCAACGTGAACAAAAATATAAAATAACAAAACAATTTGTCCACAAAGAAATGTCTCGATTACAACACAATCTTTTGTTAAAACAAAAACTAATATTTCATTGGTCGACTTCTCCCGCAGCAGCGTTCCATCAACACGAGGAAATGTTATCAGAAGAAAAGAGAAAGTCAAGAGAAAACATGACAAGTTTCTTCATGACCAGCCAGGATTGTGATGACTGTAGGCCTGCAAGCCAGTAACACAAATAGCCTGAGTGATCAACGCGGCCAGGCATAAACAGGAGTACCTAAGGCGGGAAAAAACCTCTCTGGACTGACCGCAAATCATTTCCTGCGGCCGGAGTCATTATACAGGTTTCCAGGACGTTGTTCTACATAGCAAGCCACGTATTAGACCGCACGAGCCCCAGGAGGTGGACGTCCCAGTCCCGCACCTACGGGTTCCAGGGATCGTCACAGACCTCTTTCACACCGAGGATCTATCTTGAGATCTTGAGATGATTTCGGGGCTTTTTAGTGTCCCCGCGGCCCGGTCCTCGACCAGGCCTCCACCCCCAGGAAGCAGCCCGTGACAGCTGACTAACTCCCAGGTACCTATTTACTGCTAGGTAACAGGGGCATTCAGGGTGAAAGAAACTTTGCCCATTTGTTTCTGCCTCGTGCGGGAATCGAACCCGCGCCACAGAATTACGAGTCCTGCGCGCTATCCACCAGGCTACGAGGCCCCGAGGATGCCTGCTGTTACACCTCAAAATTTCTATTTAATAGTTTAAGAGGGCGCTCACCTATTTGTGCCTGCAGGATCGAGCGTTGGCTCTTGGATCCCGCCTTTCTAGCCTTCGGTTGTTTAAGGCAATGACTCCTGTCCTTCTCTATCATACCTAGTTTTAAAGCTATGAATAGTGTTTGCTTCCACAATGTGCTCCTTTAGTTCATTCCATTTCCCCACTACTCTCACGCTAAAAGAAAACTTTCTAACATCTCTATGACTCATCTGAGTTTCCAGCTTCCACCCATGTCCCCTTGTTCTGTTGGTATTCCGTGTGAACATTTCGTCTATTTCCACTCTGTCAATCCCCCTAAGTATTTTGTATGCTGCTATCATATCTCCCCGCTCCCTCCTTTTTTCTAACGTCGTCAGGTTCAGTTCCTTCAGTCGCTCTTCATATCCCATCCCATGCAACTCTGGGACTAGCCTCGTCGCAAATTGTTTAACCTTTTTCCAGTTTCCTAATGTGTTTCACGAGGTGGGGGCTCCATGATGGGGCTGCATACTCTAAGACTGGTCTCACGTAGGCAGTGTAAAGCGCTCTGAATGCCTCCTAACTTAAGTTTCTGAATGACGTTCTAACTTTTGCTAGCGTTCCCAGGTCTCTTTCTCGAATCGTCACAGGTAGATAGTTCCCCCTTCATTGTGTACTGACCCTTTGGTCTCCTGTCACCTAGTCGCATTTCCATAACTTTACACTTGTTCGTGTTGAACTCTGCAGTAGCCTCTTGGATTTGCAATCCTCATCTGACACAATTCGTCAGGGGGAGTCTTTATTGCAATTGCACTTGATTTCAAGAATGGGTTTCCTATAATGGTGCATTATGGTAATTGCATGGTATAGGGGAGTTGTATGGGGAAAGAGGGCACGGTAGATTGACAGGGGGGGGGGTAGTAGGTATGATGTGCACAAAAAAAAGGTGATATATTGCACGAATATGTATTGCACTGCAAGGGCGGACGATGAATTGCAAAGATAGAAGGTGAGTTGCCACAAGAAGTGCCGTATTGCAATGTTATATTGCAAAAGTTGATAGCAAGTTCACGTAAGGGCGTGAAAAGTATTAATAATTATAAAATGAGATATACTGGGTTAGAAAGATAGCTGATACATTGTTAAAGTGATAGACTGCCCAATTGGACCGAAGATTGAGATGGGTAGTATAATAAAACTGTTAAATGGATGATTGTTAAGAGGAGGGTAGACTGCCCAGGGTGGGTTATAGATTGCCAGGGTGGGTTATAGATTGCCAGGGTGGGTTATAGATTGCCAGGGTGGGTTATAGATTGACAGAGTGGGTTGTAGATTGCCAGGGTGGGTTGTAGATTGCCAGGGTGGGTTATAGAGTGCCAGGGTGGGTTATAGATTGCCAGGGTGGGTTATAGATTGACAGGGTGGGTTATAGATTGCCAGGGTGGGTTGTAGATTGACAGGGTGGGTTATAGATTGCCAGGGTGGGTTATAGATTGCCAGGGTGGGTTGTAGATTGACAGGGTGGGTTGTAGATTGACAGGGTGGGTTGTAGATTGACAGGGTGGGTTATAGATTGCCAGGGTGGGTTGTAGATTGCCAGGGTGGGTTGTAGATTGACAGGGTGGGTTATAGATTGCCAGGGTGGGTTATAGAATGCCAGGGTGGGTTATAGATTGCCAGGGTGGGTTATAGAGTGCCAGGGTGGGTTATAGAGTGCCAGGATGGGTTATAGAGTGCCAGGGTGGGTTATAGAGTGCCAGGGTGGGTTATAGAGTGCCAGGGTGGGTTATAGAGTGCCAGGGTGGGTTGGAATGCGATAAATTACCGTACAGAATAGTGGACTACAAGAATAACTAATAGAAAGCCACTCTGTGGAACGAATGGCAAGAATTGATAGGCTGTGGATGCAAAGTGCTGGCACATATAGGATAATAGTTTGGGTGTAGGTTCGGAAGGGGGGAGGGGGGTGGATGCGAGGGTGTGGGGTTGACTGTGTGATCATCGTCTGGTGCAGGAAAGAATTAGAGATGGTGGATGGATTGCAAGGATAGAGCAGTGGATAGCAAGGATAGGTCGGTGGGTAGCAAGGATAAGTTGTTTGGATTGCATAGGTTGTTGAGTTGGGTTGAATAGGTAGGTGAATGGATTGCAATAATAAGGGAATTCCAAGGGTAGATGGGTGAATTACAACAGTTAATGGATGGATTGCAAGGCAGGTGGGTGGATATCAAAGGTAGGTTAATGCAGTACTAGGGAAGCAGAGTGGATTGCCTTCACAAACCCCCGAGGAGCAGATGGATGGATTGCAAAGGTTCTTGAAGGTATCGCCACGGTAGGCAAGTAGATTACAAAGGTATGTTGATATACTCCAAAGGCTGGTAGGAGGATTGCAAGAGTAGGTGGTCGGATCGCTAGGGAGGATGGATGTTAAGTCGAGAGTGGCGAAGAATTTCCTAGGGAGACCAAGTCAGCAAATGGGTCGACCTTGAGAAACAAACCTCTAATAGAAGAGGAGAGATGCTGCAAGGGGGGATGCTCAATATTTTAAGACACTGACGGTCATCTTGAAGATCACGTGGGAGATGTTGCGCAGGCAACCCAGAGGAAATGATGCAACCCCCCCCTCTCCCCCTTCAAGTCATCATTACCATTATTATCGTCACCATTACCTACCACCTCATCACCATCATCACCACCCCCTCCCGGTCATCATCAGAATATCAGTACTGCCATCAACACCATTAACACTAAAGATACTGAAGTCTTTCAGAGATAAGAAAAAAGATAGTTCCCGGCGTAACACAAGAGCCGGGAACAAGAGAAAACAAACACAGCCTCACTACAGGCAGCTCGAGTGAGCCTCTCGCAAACACAACACATTTAAAACAGTGTATTAATAGCGTAAACAAACACACTGATACGTCTATACTTGCTCATTAGCACTATTACCATCTGGTGTATAAAACAACTATGTATGATTACAAAGTACCACCACGTTGATAAAGTTTATATCAACTATACAGTGAAAGGTGTTATGTAAAGCTTCTCATTGGAAGCTTTATTTAAGCTGGAATAAATAGAATGATTTCACCGGACTTTATATGTAAAGCATCCCATCAGTGACACTGATATGTCACTATGCTTACTATGATAGTTATCATAATGATATCGTAACTTTCCAAATGTGAAAGTGGCTCTAAGAAGCTTTAATAGTGCAAATAAGTATGAATAAATCTCTCGTCATCTGCGAAAGCGTGCAATGTGGCCACATTTAGAAATTCCACTGAAGGGTTATATTTCCTATAGAATCGTGAGGTTTAGTGGAAAAGTGTCGGCCATGGCAATGCTGGGAACGGTAATGGTATATGGGCTTATTAGGCAACACTGCCTAAAACCACACACACACACACCACACACACACACACACACACACACACACACACACACACACACACACACACACACACACACACACACACACACACACACCTGTGTGGAATACACACAGTACACATACACACATATTTATATACACATATTTTGTATGTGTTGTTCAACTGAAAGGTAAAGGTATACACCAAGGTGTATATTAATATTCTGAGCACTCTTGCCAGAGTGCGGGAGAAGGGGAGGGCGATGCAGTGTAAAGCTCTCTTCTAACTTTCCCTTCACTCTTAATACATGCAGTTATGTTATGGCTCCCCCTCCCTACCCCCGAGTATAAATATTAGCTTAGGAAACATTTACATTTAAAAGCATTCACACACACACACACACACACACACACACACACACACACACACACACACACACACACACACACACACACACACACACACACACACACACACGACAAATGACAAATGGAATGCATTAGGCAGTGATGTGGTGGAGGCTGACTCCATACACAGTTTCAAATGTAGATATGATAGAGCCCAGTAGGTTCAGGAACCTGTACACCAGTTGATTAACAGTTGAGAGGCGGGACCAAAGAGCCAAAGCTCACCCCCGCAAGCATAAATAAGTGAGTACACATACACCATTGCAATTCTATGAAACAATTAAACGTAATAATTATACCCCCTAATATAATTTGGAATAGACAAGTTAATTGCATTTTCCGTTTATTGTAAAAAAGGCTGAATCTGGACATGTAGTTGAAATTAAACAATCTATTAAGTTCATAATGAAAACTTAATATAATACTCTACTACTTCTATATTTGTTCGGTTTATAGATAACGTAATGTGTAGTTTTCTCTTACGTATAAATCCTACAGTTGTTGGATAATACCCTTCGTTCATTTATATTTTTCCCAGAAAACCTAACCTAATCTACCCTAACCTAACTTACCTTAACCTAACCTAACCAGACCTAACCTATCCTAACCTTACCTAACATGGCATAACCATTTTTTTTAAATTTTAGTGAAATTTAGAAACTTCTCAAAATAATAGATATATCAGTATGATATATTAATCTAGGTATGTAAATTATTTGAAAGAAATATCAAAGATACTGAATAGCAGATTGCCAATTACCTTAGAAATTCTGGAAAGGGTTTAAAGTATGTTTCTACAATTTCCTTTATGAACTGGGACAAGATTTTAAGGACACTTGGATTTTAAGGACACTTTTAAGGACACTTTAAGATTTTAAGGACCATCTTACACACATGTTAAGCAGGTTTGCTTCCTTACGGTCGGCAGCGCCTCCCTGTATCACCAACACTGAGGGTGATACAGGTATCATCCAAGTAAGATACACATGTGTACTCCCTAATTGAAGGCGATGCATGTATTGTCCTAGTTAGAAATACATGTGTATACCCTCATTGAAAGGGATTCAGGTATCAGCCAAGCCCAATAGACTCAGGAATCTGTACACCAGTTGATTGAGAGTTGAGAGGCTGGACCAAAGAGCCAAAGCTCAACCCCCGCAAGCACAACTAGGTGCACGTGAAGTCTCTCAATCAAGGGGATGTAGTTGACCTCAAAGACATAGAAAGACATGCACAGCAACCCTGTCTTGCTTCGTTTCCATGAATGCACCTTTTGAGATACTTAACTCTGATGGTATGAGGCGCTGGTGTGATAACCACAACTCACTCTCACCTTCACTCTCACTCCTGCATTCCTCCACTCTCCCTCTTTAACCCCCCGATTACACCTCTTCTAGTGCCTTCTTCCAAAGGAGAAGGAACATTCACCCCAACCACCTTAGTTCTTTTCTCTTTTAGTTTGACCTTCAGTCTCTCTCTCCTTCACTCTGCCCCCCCAAACGCGTGGGTCTCTAGTCCATCCTGGTTCCCTCGTCCCCTGGGGCTCATGGGCTGTCCGGTCGTTAACCCTCGGAGAACTGCCTGCTTCACCCGCCGCTACTGTCTTCTACGCTCTCTCACACACACACACCTGCTCTCTCACACATGCCTACACTCTCACACATGCCTACACTCCAACCCGTTCTCGCAAATTTAAAAAGTCAATATTGACTTATTAAATATGTGCATAGGTGACATACTTAACATAATAGATACCCTTAAAAAGATTCATAGAAAACACCGACCTTACCTAACCTTGTTAGTATCTTAAGATAAGCATCTTATTGCTTCGTAATTACAATTATTACCTAACCTATAATAGGTATAGGTTAAGTAATAATTGTAATTACGAAGCAATAAGATGCTTATCTTAAGATACTAACAAGGTTAGGTAAGGTCGGTGTTTTCTATGAATCTTTTTAAGGGTATCTATTATGTTTAGTATATCACCTATGCATGTAGTTAATAAGTCAATATTGACTTTACGAATTTGCGAGAACGGGTTGACACTCTCACACGCCTGTACACTCTCACACGCCTATACGCTTTCACGCGCCCACACATGTCAGAAATGATCCAAGAGATGGTCATTGGATGTAAACTCCAGCAAGTGTAAGGTAATGCAAGAGGGGAAGAGGTAACAGGAGACCGTAAGAGCGGTTCACAATGAAGGGAAACTAACTCTCTGCAACGACTAGAGAGAAAACAAGAGGTAGGTAACGACTCCCTCTCAAGTCGTTACCTCGTTACTACAGGTAAAAACTTTTAAAGAAACCTTTCAATGTATATATGGTGTGAAGTGGGGGTATGTCTTTATATGTGTATATATACCCTGGGTAGGCCTATATGTAGCTTCCACGCTATGAAATTAAGTTCACGTGTGGATATCCAATGTTAAATGAGCCAGGTCTGTAGGTCAAGGGTCAGGTCAAGGTCAGGCAAGATGTCTTCTTCGTGCGATCATAAAAGGTCATCTGTTTTTTCCTTACCCTATCTTGGGGTACTGATTTGGTTGGCTTATTGCGGTGCTTATCTTTCGGTCGCCTTGGGCGTTCTCCCGAAGGAAAATGATCGAGAAGAGAGATTGGCTGCTTATCATTGGCGTTCCCAATTTCCTTCCTCCTTATCTCTCTCTCCTTAACTACCTTTCTAGCTCCTCGCTTTCTACCTCTCCCCTCCTTTTCCCTCTGTCCTGTTCTTCGTGATGAATGCACGTTTAATATATAAAGTTATATACTTCTTTATATACTTTATATACTTCTTTAAAGTATATAAAGAATTTTGAGAATCGTACAGAGAGTCGAGCATTTTGTGTCGAGTTCATAGTGTGCTCACTCCATGTAGTGTGTGTGTGTCTGGTGGCATGAAAGAGTTACAAGACTGTAGTTTCATCATTATCAGAAGTTGCTGTGCTTGAAGGCTGTCATTACACTGTCACTTTTGCCACAGCTCAAAGATATCAAAATCATCCTATTTTAGAGTGGACTACACATTCTTCAGTCACTACAGTAAATAGAAGCTCGTGTACTAACTCTGTCACATACAAACTGTATCCTCCCCTTGGTATAATACAGGGGGAAACACTACTGTATCAGGCAAGGTGAGCGTATCATTCAACCCTAATCACATGTATCCCTTCTCATGTGAACTAAATATTGTCCACTATTTCCCCCTCTCTCAGGCCTTCCGCAGTTCGAAGTGGACGCCGAAGAGCCGTTCCTGGACATCGAGTCTCCGTCCCCCAGACATGAAGAATTCAACTGCGTGGAGGACGGCGTTTACGAAGACCCGGTGCAGTGCGACAAGTACTGGGTGTGTGAGGGAGACTACGCCACCCCGAGACTCTGCGACGATGGGCTTGTCTTCGATGTCCTCAAGGCGAAGGCGGGCAGCGCCGACCCTTGCGAGTACCCTTATGTGGCCGACTGTGGCAACAGGCTCAAGCTTCGTGAGTATTGGGTGGGACGTGGTGGCCCATGTGGCGGGTTAGTGGTGGGTAGGAGGTGGGGGAGAATGTGAGAGGGAGATAGGTGAGAGAGAGGGAGACAGGTGAAAGAGAGGTAGATAGAGGGAGGGACGGTAATTATAATAGGGAGGGACAGTGTAAGAGGGAAGGAGAGTGTCATAGAGACAGATAGACAGTGGTAAAAAGTGAGAGGGTGAGAGATAAAAGGTAAGAGGTAGAGAGAGGGAGGGTGAAAGACAAATAGCAGGTAAGATAGGGAGAAAGGGAGAGAGAATATGTTTACATCTCTTAAATAGACTCTGATTTACACAACGCTACTAAAAACTTCATGTTTTTTGTCAAGGGAAACCACAATATCTGCCTTTCTAATTCTAAACAGCACATTTGACTGCATCAGTAATACAATATGACTCCGCAGGTGCTATACGATAAGCACTATAAACCCTTCAGAATAAGAACACAATTATGAAAGTAATTGCAGAAGCCCTATTGGCCTATACGAAACAAATACTAATTATTCCCACCCAAACACATTCATATGTATGTATCTAATTTACGCTTGACACAATCAAGTGATCCCATATCTATTATGTTAGCAGCATTGTGTTCCATAAATCAACAGCCTGGCTTCCAAAGCCATTCTAAAACTCGAATTATCTAATATAGGAGTCCACCAAAAAATCACATTTTAATACTTTCTCTCATCATACTGTATATTAGCTGTCTTCAAAGTATTCTAATTAAGGATAACTTCACGTTTTGCTGCCGACACTGGTTTGCATATCACAGGCAAAGACCGTAATATCCTCAGGAATTCAACACAGATTTGGGTAAGTTTCCCCCTATAGGTTGCACAGACAACATACAATCCCATGGATATTGCAGTAATCTTCCTTTCCCCTTCCGCTTTCATCCTTGCAGAGAATGCAACGTACCCCAGTAAGTATTGCCCACGCAGTAATGGGATCTTCGCGGACCCTAACCCAGCTATCTGCACCCGCTTCTACACCTGTATCAAGGGCCTCCACACTGTCACAGACTGCACTTCGGGACTCCACTTCGATGATGTGGAGGGGATTTGCAACTGGCCAGACCGTGTAGGCAGGACCGGCTGTGAAGAGGACAAGATGGCTTGTAAGTGAGAGAGAGAGAGAGAGAGAGAGAGAGAGAGAGAGAGAGAGAGAGAGAGAGAGAGAGAGAGAGAGAGAGAGAGAGAGAGAGAGAGAGAGAGAGAGAGAGAGAGAGAGAGAGAGAGAGAGAGATGTTTAATATCCCAGCTCTTAATCTGTCTGATATCCCATCTTTTAGTCTGTGTGATATCCCATCTTTTAGTCTGTCTGATATCCCAGCTCTTAGTCCGTCTGATATCCTATCTGTTAGTTTATCATTAAACCCTTACAAGTGCTACAGTGCGGCCTGCAAACATTTAAACAGAGATGCAGGATTTGTTGTCTTGACTCTATAATCCGGCACATTGGATTTCAAATCAAATAATGTCTATGGGGTTAAAATACAAATTTGCAGCTCTAAATTAATTTGAAGAAATTTAAATTCATCCAAATTGGGTGAACCTTGTAGGGATTATAACCTATTTTTTTTCTACATACTTCCCCGTTGTAGAGGGGGGAAAAAAGGTGTGACAAGAGATCATGCATTTAGATCATGCACGAGGAAAGATAACGAATGGTCTACTGTAGAGTTGATTCAAAGTGTGGCATCTGCATTTCGAGTCTGTTACTGTTATCTCTTAGACCAAAACTTGAGGTTCGTCAAAATCGACATGTTTGAAATTGCTGAGAAGCAAAAAAACACAAAAAATCACTGGATGACCCAGGGATACGTTTTCCAATTGCCAAAGGAAATATATTCTCGTGTCGAACATCTAAATAATAATAAATAAATAAATGTTTATTCAGGTAAGGTACATACATACAAGAGATTTTACAAAAATTGATCGATTTATAGATAGAGCTTGTACATACAATGCCTAAAGCCACTATTACGCAAAGCGTTTCGGGAATCTAAAAAACATTCCAGACTGTATATAGAGATGTGAAGACGATGATTGACAATAACGTGGCTGAAGATATGATGACCAAACAATACCAGAAGCTGAGGAGACGACGACGTTTCGGTCCGTCCTGGACCATTTATCAAGTCGATTGTGATAGTGGTCCAGGACGGACCGAAACGTCCCGGTCTCTTCATCTTCTGATGTGTGGTCTGATCATCATATAGAGATGTCTCAGACTACTGTGAGAGGGAGATTGTACCAGCATAACCTCAAAGGGTTATGTCAAACCAAGAGATGTAAACCATTGGTAATACTCAAGAACAGAATGACAAAGGTTACAGTGTGCTACAAAAATACAACAATCCAGTAAAGCTCTGAAATACAGTCTTGTCGGCTGATGAGACGAAGATTTACTTGTACCAGAGTGAAGGAAAGAGCCAACTCAAAAATGGTACTTCACATGGTCTAAAATCTACCGCTTAATATGTCAAACATGGTAGAAGAAGTAATTTTGGACATGTATGGATTTTTTTACTCATCTAATTAATGATGTGTATGTTGATACACATATTCAGTATGTGTATCAACACAGGATGGATTCAGATTTTTTCTCAGAATCTGAATCCATCGAATCTGTTCAGTCCCAACAAATGCTCCTTAAAATATATGTTGTCACAGAAATTACCTTACCTTGCCACAGGTGAAATTGGTAAAATTTACCAATTCCACCAAACATACTGCTAAAGCCACATAGGAGTTTATCAGAGAAGAAAAGTGGAATGAGCTTAACTGGCTTATCAATAACCCGACCTAAACCTAACTGAGCATCAGTTTTATTTGTTAAAGACGAAACTAGCAAAATAGTTCTCCAAACATTGGAAAGACGGCTGTAGTACGAACAAATCCACAAGGGGGGATTCACAAATCCAAATAAATTCAGTAGAATTTCTGGTTGCAATTCTTATCCATGTCGTAGCACAGCCGATTAAGGCAGCGTCTGGGATGCTCTCGGACGTAGGTTCGAATCCTCGTCACGGCCCTTGTGGCTTTGTTCGGCTCTAGTACAAGCCTGGCAGAGCATAACCATGGAAGATGACAATCGTCTAATGTTGTCCTTATCCCTGCAAGAACATCACACTCTTCACACACACGATACACTCAATGAATTTGTAACCAAGTACTAAATATGGCGAGTTTATTTACGAGTATGTTAATATCTCCATAAAGGACCACAGAACAACTAACCTAGGAAACCTAGCCATGAAAAAAGGGGACTGTAATTCCTATACTGATTGTATAGGCATATTAACGCTATGATTGTAAATATCCTGAAAATAATGTTTAAAACCTGCACCAGAACCTCATAGACATTATGTATCATTATAAATCACATATGCTAGAGTACAGAGCCCAAAACAACAATCATCACATCACTGTTCAAATAAACCCTTCGTCGCTGGATATGGCCAAACAGGCAACGCAAAGCGACACCAATTCAATTCGTTGTGGACACGTTGCTTGTTGGATTAGTGCTTTCTCCTCACGTTACTACCCGTCATTACCACACACACTCGCTATCCTCTCCACAGCCTGTGCCAACAACGGTGCTTTCTGCTGCACGGGGGAGAGGGTCATCAACTCCCAGGGGGTGGAACTACCCCACCCGACCTACATCAACCCTGACGACTGCCAGAAGTTCTACGTGTGTCTGAATGGCCAGACGCCGCAGGAGTCCTCTTGCAGCCTGGGTCAAGTCTACAATGAGAAGACGATGATGTGTGATTTTCCGGAGCATGTTCCCGAATGGTGAGTGCTTTCTCTTGTTCCTCTCCAACCCTCGCCCCTGGAGTGCTGAGTGTTCTCTCTTGTTCTCGGCGAGTGCTCTGTCTTGTTTCCTGCCTGGGCGTGTTCTCTTCTTTTCCCTGAGTGCTCTGTTCTGTTCTCCGTGAATGTTTTTGTCTCTCCACGTGCTCTATCTTGTCCCTACAGAGTCTAGAAAACAAACTTCCCCATATTTCTTCTTAATGTTCTCTTTTTGTAAACAATCAGATATGTAACTGTATAACCTTGTATAATAAAGTGTACAACATTAAAAAGGGGTTGTTAGCAGAAGTGAACACTGATACGTATTCAGAGTTAAATTGGCAAGTTTTTCTCTGAATGCTCTGTGTTCCCTTCTTTTAAGCTGTGGGTCCTTGCAATTGCACCAGAGGTGGTGTCCCCTTATATATATATATATATATATATATATATATATATATATATATATATATATATATATATATATATATATATATATATATATATATATATATATATATATATACTTCTTATATGTAATTTTAAAAGGAACTCCATATAAAGTAGGGAAGAGCAACAGGAGAAAGTGGCCTGTAGCTGCAGATTCAAATTATTCCACTCACAGCCAGAAGTCGTACGTAAAATATGGAATAATTCTTGTCAAACGAGGCTTCCTCGTAACATTAAAGGAGACAACAAAAGAAACATTTTTTTTTCTTGCAGGGATATTGCTTCGCTGGCCTCTGGTTGTCCTACTCTTTTCTGTATTACCTAGGTGGTGCATGAGTATTTTTAGACTCGTATGTTCGCTTCAGTAAGATTATATCCAATCTTACTGACGTAGAGTGCGACTTACATCGAAACATTACCGAATGTTTCGTGAAATTACAGACAGGTAAGATCTGGTAACTGGGAGACAGTAACCATCGTACCTAAACCAAACACTTGACGACCTCACCTCACTTCCAATCATTCATGAACGACAACACACCCCCGCTCACAATACCCGTTTTCTTTACAGCAAAGGATGGTACAGGGACCATCCAGAATTTGCTGAGTATTACTATGAAGAAGCTGCTGAGAAAAGCGACGTTGGCGCCGAAGAGACTCCTCAGTAGACAGAGGTCTCGACTGAAAAGTGACAGATATTGGTGCTGAGGAAGCGTAGATCTGTGTCACATGTTTGGCAATATCTTATGAGATGATCTTTGGCAGCGACTTATTATATATATATATATATATATATATATATATATATATATATATATATATATATATATATATATATATATATATATATATATATATATACATACACTTTTTACGTACAGGATTTGGTGGCAGAGCGGTTCGAGTATCAGGGCTGGTAGGGGTTTAAAACTGAACTTGAAATAAGTTTATTGAGGTATAAATATACGCAAATGGATGAGGCAGCTCAAGCTATTCTCACCCTGTTCGGTGGTAAGGGTAGTAGACCCCAGTTTGAATTACTAGTTAGAGGTTGAATTAGTGTCTTAATTGACTTGAGGTATACTTTCTGGAGTGCTACACCTCATTTGACCCTCACACAAAAGGTGGGCATATTTACCCATGCTGGGGATACATATGTGAAAATAAATCAATATATGTGTGTGTATGTGTTCAGTGTTCACTTGTCAATTCTCTCTCTCAGAGTCCTTTCTCTGGCTTAGTGCTTACAGAAAAACACGGAGGATGCTACAGCTTAAGAAATACTCACTGTGTGTGTGTGTTCAGTGTTCACTTGTCAATTCTCTCTCTCAGAGTCCTTTCTCTGGCTTAGTGCTTACAGAAAAACACGGAGGATGCTGCAGCTTAAGAAATACTCACTGTTTCATAAAGAATGGTACTTCTTTTCGGGAGGCTTTGGAGTGTGACAGGGAGACTATTTTGTGCTGATTTTCGTGATCAATGAGGGATGAAAACATAGAGTGTTATTTACGCTTTTGTTCTGTGTTAATCGATTGTTTTATTTGGTATTTCTCTCTTTCCCGGGAGCTCTTTGATAGGGCCGTTAGTATCATTGGTGTTCAGCGTTCATTATGTGTTCAGTTAGACATTAGAGATTCCGATGAACGCTTTTATTTCAGGTGTCCAAGGGAATTGACATCACGTGAGCCATACAGAATTCTATTTTCTAATTCAGAACTTTAATAAATTGGGCAATTGGTGTTCAGCGTTCATTATGTGTTCAGTTAGACATTACAGATTCCTGTTTCATCTAAACTATGGGTGTCTGCCTTTACGGGCGAATGTATCTTGTTTCTCTGTGTCTCTTCTTTTGATTGCATTATGCTGTACACTAGATAATGAGCTAATTCTATGTTAATCTTTGTTGCATAGCAGCCTAACCTTATCCAGTTTTCTTTGTATCAGGACTGCTACGAGAACCAACTATTTTCCCGTTTTCTTCTGTTTACTTTACGCTACATGTTATTTGTTAACAAGCACATATACATATATCAATATTTTCTTGCATAGCACTCCAACCTGATCCCATTTTCTTTATCCTAATTAATAATTTTAGGGCAACTCACAACCTCTCAATGAACTACTTTCACAGTTTTTATCCCGAGCTAATTAAACGGTTGATCTCTACTCTGTATGTTGAACTCTTTCCTCACAAAGCATGCCAACCTCAACCCGTTTTCTTTGCAGTGAGGGTTGGTACAAGAGCAACCCTTTGTTCGACGTCCTCTATGACGACGACGACGGCGATGGCCTTAAAGACTTCGGGGATCGTAGGGACTTCACTCAAACTTCCATCAACTAACGTGCATGAATCTTCGTCGTCTGCTCCTTCCTTCCTTCCCTCCTGTCACCTGTCCGTCATGCCTCCGTCAATCACTTTGCCAGTGTCATAACTTCCCCCGTGGCAGGACGTCTTCTTAATCCTCCACTCCCAAGATCTTCACTAACTTGAACAAAACAATTATCTTCACTAACTTAATAACCGTGTGTGTGCTCAACGTGCTGTTGCAAGTATCTTTTGCTCTACCAAAACATGGACAACAGAGAGACGTCAATCGTTACTCCTCTCTCCTTCAACTACTATCCCTTCAAACTACCACTTTCAAGAGAAGCCTGTTTATAATATAATGCACTATACCCACTTAAACACTCCAATCCTCCATAAAATCAACTGTGTACCTTCGTGTCAGCTGTTTACCTTATTCAGTCCACTACACCTGTGTCCTCCATCGTGACAGCTGTTTACCTTATTCAGTCAACTACACCTGTGTCCTCCTCCTCGTGTATTGGGTCCCAGTGGCCAAGGTGACTTCTTCCCTCTGGGAATGTTTTCTTACCCTCGACAGCCTGTCCTCTGCGTGACGAAGCTCCAACAGCCGTGAAGGTTACGGTTTTCACAGCGCGGAATGTGTGAGTTTTTTGTCTGGCGTTCGTCCTTCGAGAAACAGGTGAATGTTGAGATATTGTGGAAGAGCTTGTTTATTCTTTGTGGCGAGATAGTGAGTTGCAACACCTGCTAGTAAGCCAGTGGATACAGTAACTACTGGTAAGCCAGTGGACACAATAGCCCCTAGCTCAATAGCCTCCAGCATTCTTCGGTAGCTTGTGTAGTATTTAGCTCTTAGCTGTAGCCTAGTGTTCACCTCTGGGTACAAATACGCAAGAGACAAGAAAGCCTGAATGAAACCTACTGTATTCTGTAATCTTTATATCTAATTTCCAGTCTCAGTAAGAATGGCTCCAAGGTCTAAGGATAAAGGTGTCTCTAATTTCCATCAGGTTAAGACAATGATTCTTACAGATTTTCTAAATTTTCCAAAGACGTTTTCGGTCTCTTTTGAAATAAGATGAAAATCTGCGTCTCTGATAGAAATTAATCTCGTACAACAGAATGTGTGTACTCACCTAGTTGTGCTTGCGGGGGTTGAGCTCTGGCTCTTTGGTCCCGCCTCTCAACCGTCAATCGATTGGTGTACAGATTCCTGAGCCTACTGGGTTCTATCATATCTACATTTGAAACTGTGTATGTGAATTTGTGTGTGTGTGTGTATTCACGTAGTTGTGCTTGCGGGGGTTTGAGCTTCGGCTCTTTGGTCCCGCCTCTCAACTGTCAATCAACTGGTGTGTGTGTGTGTGTGATCTGCTTGACTGTTCCGGTTCGCGCCGTGATCGACTTGGCTAGTCTCGCCTTGATTGGGAAGCTTCAGACACTTATATTCCCTCTCAACATGCAACTTAAAGTGTCATTTGCTCATTGATTCACTTTCTGTACTCAAGAAATACATGAAGCATTTTTAAGATGTATTTTGTAATGTTAAGTTTTTTTACATATATATATAAAATGTTTTATTTGTAAATAAAACGTAAACCTGTTATTCACTTGTTTTAATTCCAAATTCGCGTATACTGATCTATTGTAATGACTAGTTTTTACTCCATGTTTCAGCTTCTTGAAAAGGGACAATATTACATCATGAACCCGAATAAGTCTTTAGAATAGAGGTCATATTCAGGTCAAATAAAGACCACCTTGTGAAGTAATGACCACCTCATTCATTAACTACGTCTTTGGTATGAACTGGTGGAATCATATGATTCATAATTAACCCGTTCGGACAGTTGTGAGTTTACCCGTGGTGTGTACCGGCGTATTAAATGGTTGTAAACCAAACAAGTACGAAAGGAGAGGTATAATTATGAGGTGAAAACACTAGGCCAGGGTGACTATGTTCCTCTCCATGTAGGGAAAGGTAATTATGGTAATTATGAGGAATGAGCACTAGACCAGGTGTAAAAACCTGGCTTAGGTACAAAAGGTGCAAAACTACTCTTCTCATCTTAAAAAAAAGATGCATTACATATTGGTTTGGATGATGAAATAGATGAACAAAAGCTATATATAATCCTCCAAAGGTGTATATATAGTTCCCGGGCCATCTGGAGGATTATAAAAGACCACTGTAACGGTTTACTGCCCAATCATCGAGTACAATGTAGACCTAAAAATAGTCCAGAAATAAAGTAAACTTTTAGTCTAGAAACAGCAAACAGTGGGATGAACCTTTCGGTAACCTTGGCTTTGAGAGACCTGTGAACTGCATAAAGTTTAAAATTATGTAATATTTGAATGCGAGACCGCAGGAGGTAGCAAGGGCGAATAATATTATACAAATAGTGCTGTAATTGTAAATATATTACGATGAACGATGTTGTACTTCGCAACAGAAAGATTTGTGATACTAGGCTGTATATTTGCAGGACCCTGCTAGGTACAATCCACTCATCTGGCCAGGGTCCACAGCCAGGGGCCCTCAGCATATGCTGCACCAAGGGCAGACAGAGGTCAGCAGCGCACTCAAACCAACCACTCCCTCCACCTGTTATTTTCTCTCTCTCAAGCTTGCATAGACGATGAGTCAGGAAACAAAGGTTTATGATAATTTTGTGTGATAAATATAAAATCAGCTCGGAGAATATGATTGAGAGAACGGAGAAACTGACATATATATATATATATATATATATATATATATATATATATATAATATATATATATATATATATATATATATATATATATATATAACGTTTCGAATACTTCTCGTATTCATCATCAGATCTAAAAGAAAAAACAGAAATCACAATCAAATAACTGGTAAACAAAGAACGCATACTGAATATAATTGCCTATCAAAGAAAGGAAAATGCTTAAAAAACAAAACACTTAAGCGCACTTAAAGTGATCAATACAAATAAAACTTATTAACTGTCACATATATTAAAGCTAATTTAAAAATCCATTAAACTACAAGATGAATTTTATAACTACTAAAACAAACCATTCTATTAAACTTACGTGAAGTGATCAGAAGTGAAACTTGATACCTAACACATAGATACTAAACACTATAACAAATATTTATATAATGACTACAAATCTACAAAAAATGTATATAAAATACAAACAGAATAAACGACAATTATAAAGTACTAACCAAAATCTTATAAAAAACTCAAATATTAAATAAAATTAAATACCATAATACAAAGATGTATTATGTATCCTAAATAAAAGATTATATTAATGTACAATGTCAAGACTTGAAATAAGTAAGAAAGGGCAAAGACATGGTAAACTAAACAAAATTATAATAAAATTAAACTACCAGAATGAACTATAAATCAAATTACAGGGCCTACTGTGCACTATACAGTGTACAATTGAACAGCTGAATTACCAGTTATTTGATTGTGATTTCTGTTTTTTCTTTTAGATCTGATGATGAATACGAGAAGTATTCGAAACGTTATGCATTTTAAAGTAAAGAATCTGAAACAAGATGTTCAGTATATCCCTGGTTTTCCTATTTATCTTAAAATTAAGATTCCCGAAGGGAACATCGACCATAAACATCTGTGCTGGCTAGGGTTCGAGTCCCCTGGTGGGGGTTGTTGTCTATATATATATATATATATATATATATATATATATATATATATATATATATATATATATATATATATATATATATATATATGTCGTACCTAGTAGCCAGAATGCACTTCTCGGCCTACTATGCAAGGCCCAATTTGCCTAATAAGCCAAGTTTTCCTGAATTAATATATTTTCTCTAATTTTTTTCTTATGAAATGATAAAGCTACCCATTTCATCATGTATGAGGTCAATTTTTTTTTATTGGAGTTAAAATTGACGTAGATATATGACCGAACCTAACCAACCCTACCTAACCTAACCTAACCTATCTTTATAGGTTAGGTTAGGTTAGGTAGCCGAAAAAGTTAGGTTAGGTTAGGTTAGGTAGGTTAGGTAGTCGAAAAACAATTAATTCATGAAAACTTGGCTTATTAGGCAAATCGGGCCTTGCATAGTAGGCAGAGAAGTGCGTTCTGGCTACTAGGTACGACATATATATATATATATATATATATATATATATATATATATATATATATATATATATATATATATATATATATATATATATATATATATATATATATATATATAGACAACAACCCCCACCAGGGGACTCGAACCCTAGCCAGCACAGATGTTTCACAATACCTGGCATAGCTGGTACGCCTTTAACCCACTACACCTTTCAGACCCTTAAAAGAGATGAAAATTTTGGGGTATTTAACTACCCCAAACCACCACCTCCCAAGGGCAACAAAGTAAGTGAGAGGTCACTCACGTTCTTTCATCAAGCTCCTGTTTATATGGGAGAACACTGTGTCTATGCTTTTATATGCACTAACTTGCTTAAACACACAAGTTTGAAGTTAAACCAACTTTAGACAACAACAGCTATGCCAGGTGTTATGAAGCATCTGTGATGGCTAGGGTTCGAGTTCCCTGGTAGGGGTTGCTGTCTAAAGTTGGTTTAACTTCAAACTTGTGTATTTAAGCAAGTTAGTGCATAAAAGCATAGACACAGTGTTCTCCCATTGTGTAATTTTATAATAAGTGTAATACATTCTACAGTTATTTATTTATTTTTCTTCACCTCGAACAAAAATGACTTTTGGAGTACTCCTTTTCCAGTTAATCCAAGATGCAAGAGTCTTGAATTCTGACTTCTATCCAGTCAGAGAGATAGACGCCCTAAACAAGAAAATAATCAATACAGAATATGCAGTTATATTCAATGAAACATATTCTCCTAATAGTTCCCTTTACGCTTCGCCGACTGCAATAAAAATTAAGCCTCATTATAACTGTCTTCAAAGCGTAATAGACAACAGTATTCGTCATTGCATGTCAAGTGTCAAATTACTGATCTTGACAATGTACGAAAAGCTGTCAAAGTCTAGATGAGCAAGAATAGTGAGGCTGAGGTCGGTATTCCTGTTTTCATTTAATTTTAAACATCTTTTGTTCATTGGTACAGGAAATTCCAGTGTGTGTGTGTAACTCCTGTGGTGGTGAGGTAAACGGTGGCCATCGTGGGGCGTTTCGTGGAACTGCCAATTTCCCAATTACTGCTGCGTATGTGTACTCACTTAATTGTGCTTGCGGGGAGTTGAGCTTCGGCTCTATGGTAATGGAATCTGTGCATCAGCTGTAATGTGCATCACACACATATCTGTAATGTGTGTGCACTCACCTAGTTGTACTCACGTAGTTGTGCTTGCGGGGGTTGAGCTCTGGCTCTTTGGTCCCGCCTCTCAACAGGTGTACAGGTTCCTGAGGGTACAGGTTCAACAGGTGTGTGTGTGTGTGTGTGTGTGTGTGTGTGTGTGTGTGTGTGTGTGTGTGTGTGTGTGTGTGTGTGTGTGTGTGTGTGTGTGTGTGTGCGTTTTTCTAACTGTACTTATCTAGTTGAACCTCTAGGGATTGAGCTCCAGCTCCCAGGCCTCATGTGTTAGATATCTATCATATGGTGCAATGACTTCTGACTCTCTTAAGGTGTGTCTTAATTACATATCATTTTCTAACGTGCTTAACCCAGCACGATTACATATAAAAATACCAGCCACTCTACCAGCCACTCTATCAGTCACTCTACCAAACTCTAATGTATATCACTAATGAAATGACTGGTTACACTGCAATAACCATTTGAAATCCATTTTAAATTAAAGTATGTTAGACTAAAGTTATACAAAGAGAGATGAGCTGACTATATTTATCCACCAGCCAAGGACAATGCCAGCAAACCGGTGTCGCGTCCCGCCTTAATTCTTGGTAAGGGAATATTCTTATAAACGTACAGAATTATTTTGTTTATCTGCAAGTGGGTACATGAGCAGAATACTCCTGACTCTTGTTAGCAGGATGATAGGTTTTCCTTCCCACAGCAAAAGGTAAGCCTTGCCCACTAGTTTTCCCCCCTGGAACACGGCCTACTAATTGGTTAACAACCAGGTACCCAATTACTGCTGGGTGAACAGTTGGGATTGGTACCTAATCAATCCTCCCGAACCAGGACACGAACCCAGACCAAATTGCTTGAGAGGAGAGTGTGTTACCATTACGCCACCAGCGACTGTGA